ATCTATTATCTATCTATCTTCTCTATCTATCTATATATATATATATATATATATATATATATATATATATATATATATGGTGTTTACAAAAGATTTCAATGCTGAAAAGCTACCTGTAAATATAAGAAAAACTTGATTTATACAGGAAAAATATCTGGGTAATCTGCAAATTTATATTCAACAATATCTTTTTATTTATATATAGAGAATGATTTCTGTGAATGCACAAAATTAAAAAATGAAAAAGACAATTGTTTATGCATTTTCCATTTTTAAAATTCTTCAACCGATCTTCAACAAGACAATTTTAAGAGAAATGGAAGGTCCACAAGGATTTATTATTGGCGGACATAATCTTGACAAAATAAGATACATGGATAACACTGTGTAGATGGCTGAATCAGGATGGAAACTGAAAGAATTCATAGACAAGGCAATAATGGACTTTCCTCTATGCAGGCTTGAAAAAAATATTTATTGACAAAAAAATTATTAATTCCATGATTCAAATCATCCCATTCTTTAAAATGGTTTCTTTCTCATTTTTTATATATATATATATATATATATATATATATATATATATATATATAAACACACCAACAGTGTTTCAGTCCTAATCTAAATTTAAAGAAAACCAATATTATTTATGAATAATTTGCATTATTTACATTATTCCAGACTATTGTCCTCATTTTTGTTGCCATATTTATCACAACTTTCTTTTTTTTATTGTACAAAATGGCCTTCTTTAGGTGGTTGGAAAATGTCGAACTAAACTCTTTTATTTCATTTACTGGAGTAGACTGTTCTAGTTCCATGTGCCATACTTAATGGATGTCAGTTATCAGTTTTCCTGCATCTTTTCCTCTGAAAGTTCTCCAAATTAATTAACCGGGTATTGAACTCACACTAATTGGGTCCTGTCACTGAATCTATTGAATGCCCTTATAAAGGGTTCAGTTCAACATTCCAACCATCTGAAGAAGGCCAGATCAATAACAACGGCCGAAACATTATCAGAAATATTTTAACAAAGATGAATCACAATAGTCTATATAATGTAAATAATGTTCATAATACTACTTCTTCAGAAATATAGACATACAATAATTTGCATGCTCATTAAAGTTGCTTCACTGTGTCAAGCAAGAAGGTTTTTCTCACCCGAGGACATCCTTCAAATCAACTATTCGTCCTTGTACTGAATACTGCTGCCATATATGGTCTGGTGCCCCCACGGTGTATCTCTAGGTCCTCAACAAAATCCAGAGATGAATATGCAATGTGATAGGTTTTAATCTGGTATCTCATCTACACTCACTCTCTCACAGACGTGCTGTGGCTTCCCTCTATCTTTTCTCCAGGTATTTTCATGGCAACTGCTCTGATGAGCTACTTTCACTGGTTCTCAGACTGCATAAATTTAAGTGTGCTACTAGGTTGGCATCTTGCTCCCACCCTTTTACTCTCGTAACGGTTAAAATATAGTCATCGCTTCTACTCCAACAGCTTCTTGTCTCACACTTCCCATCAGTGGAACTCCCTTCTTCTTACTTAGTTCCTTGATAGCTATAATCTTCAAATATTCAAATCTAATGTCAATCGGCATCTTCTGATGCCTTGATCTTGATCCTCATCCTTCTCTATATCCTTACCTCAAACACCCACTTTTTCTCTCATTTTCCTTGTGTGCTAGTGGCACTCCTGCCTTGCTTGGGGTGATATGCTTAAAAAATAAAGGCTGTTTTCCTGATCAAACCAAATTGATGAATAATTATATTGTACATACCACTACATGCCTATCAAGAAGACTCATGTTACACCTCTCTGACTGTAGCTTCATTAGGACTTAAAATGCACATGGAAAGCTACCAAACTCTATACGCAAAATACTTGTAGAAAATACAAGTATAATAACCTCATCCACATGTAAAAGAAAAAAAAATTGAAATTAATTGAAGTACTAATAATAAAAAAGTAAAAACAACATTCAATAACATCAATTATGAACATGGCCAGAATGTGCTGACCATGTCTGGAATATAAAAAAATTTTGACATCAATTAAAAACATATATAAAAATTTTTATATTTTTTAAAAATAAAAAATAAAAACATTCTGGATACTGGCTAATAGAATAATTGAAAACACTTGGATATATCAAACATTTGGACAAGTTTTACATACTTTATATCCAGAAAAGAAAGCACTTATATAAATACAAGAAATATAAGAGAAATTAAATAAAGAGCTTAATCACATTACATTGTTAGTCATTATTAACAAAACTTATAGAAAAAAGTGGGATTGCTGCCCAAATACACAATTTTATATATATATATATATATATATATATATATATATATATATAAAAGGCAGGATGTGTGTGTGTGTGTGTGTGTAACGAATGCATGGCTGCAATTTTCGACGGATTTGCACCAAAATTTACATGCACATGCTCCAAGTTAGTGGAAAGGCCAAGATTGACGTTGCATTTCCCAACTCCCATCGTTGATTTTTTCATGCTTCTATGCCAGTTTTCATGTAGTTTGTGGCCATTTTCTACTAGTGAGAGCCTATAGCTGGCTGCTACAAATAGGCAGGAAGATTCTATTGGCCAGTGTGAGAGCCAACAGCTGACCGACACGAATGTTAACTAGCATGCTTGCATGCAAAAAAAAAATCGATAGCTGCATTCGTCACATTACAAGTGGAAAAATTTAAATCTGCATGGCACTTTACTCCAATTGGCTCATTTGCTTGCTTAAACTCAACGTTGATTCTGATTCCGCAGAACTGGGTTGGGTGTGAAAAAAATATTTGTTAACATTCTTTTTTCATTCGGTTTTTCCAGTTACGAGTCCTTTTTTAAAAGCTGATCGTTTTGTGTTCATTTTGTTTAGTTCTTTTTTCGTAACAGATTTAATGTTTAGTATAGAGCTTAGAAAAAATTCACAGTGTGAGATAGGCAAAAGTAAGGCATGTAGCAACATCAGCATGGCAAAGGGCACTACTTTAAAAAGGCAAGAAGGCAAAAATATTTTTAAGTCAAGTGATAGCGATTGCTGTATGAGTCGTACAATTTTTGAATCAAGCACAGGCAACACCAGGCCATGCTGCTAGTATATATATATATATATATATATATATATATATATATTTATTTTAAAAAAAAATTACCATTATGATAATTTATTTCACCAAAACCCTTTTAAAGGACGCTGGATCATCAGATAGCACTTCCAAAAATGAAATGAAATGAAAAATGAAATCAAAATTGATGGGTAGTGTAAGTTTTTGTAATTTAACAGAGAGTGTAAAAGGAATAGTTAAAGAGACATGGTAGAGTTTAGGGAGATATTAATTTCATATCTCTCTCAATCATACTTAGTATTGGGGGAGGAGGAGTGACCAGACCTTGACCTATTTAGACAGTAAAAATAATTGAAGAACTTGGTAAATATTAGCTCTGGATTTACATTGAGCTCTCAGGATTTCATCCTCCTTGGGATTACTCATACGGATTGATTACCAAGTTCTTCATAATTTAATCATATATAATCATAACTTAATTATATATATATATATATATATATATATATATATATATATATATGAAGATGATGTATCAAAAAATAGTATTCTGAAACTGATATTTTATGCTTTCCATCAGTGTTATTCTGCTCACTTATCTGCACATAATGAGGAAAGAAGGCTTGGAGAATTTGACACTCACAGGACATATTGAAGTTAGGAGAGATAAAGGAAAGCAGCAAGTAGCCTACATCAGCAGATTGTGTCAGTGGTGGACAGTACAGGGATTAGTTGAAAATCAGCTTACTCTAACTCCAAATTGTACTCTCTATATCTGTTGTAGTTTCCATGGAAATAAATAGGGAGCTTTATTTTTGGAGCATCTCTTATACTGCCACTAAGACTGCTACTCATTGATATGTTTTCCTGATGCAGTGAATAACCAAGATTTATGTTTCTCAGTTTTTTAAGGAAATATTTTTTTTTGCTTTCTTCCTTTTTAATTTTTTTTTTAAAACCTCTTTTTCCTTCCATTTGTACATCTTATATTTACTAACTGATATTTATTTAGTTTTTCTTTTGGTAAACCCGGTATGACAAAATCCCTTCTGGGTATCAAGTAAAAATATTGAATTACGAGCAAAGAGCACAAGCTAGGTGCAAACCTAAACCTTAAAGAAAAGAAATTGAACAAAAAAAAAAAAAAATGAAAAAAAATGTAAATAAAAATAAAAGTTTAACATTTCAAAAATGGGTAAATTTTTTTGTCAAAGGAAAAAAATAAAAACAGCGAAAAATCCATACTGGAAAAATGCATTTGTTTTAAGCAAAAATTTCCAATGTATTTCCATAGCAGAAAGAAAGAGAGTGGCTACAAAGTAAGGGTTTATATTTTTTTATTTTTATCTTTTTCAATATCTGTTTGCACTTAATCAGAAGAATTTTGCAATTTTTTTTTTCTTACCCAAATTTGTTTTTGTTTGCAATCAATTATTTTTTTTTTTTTAAAGGGACAAATTTTTATTCTTTGTTTTAACATTTTTTTAATTGCTTCATTTTCACTTCTGTATTTCTTGTGATTCGATTCACCATCTGCCAGTGTTTCTGAGTGAACTGGAACATTTGAAATTCTTCCAATTTCTACAACATTCGCATAAAATCTAGTTTCCGGATTTCAGTTACTTTCTTCATTTTTCATTTTATTTTTTAAATAACTCCGTAGATCAAATATTTAAAAAACAAAAACTAACAAAACTGACTGATATTTATAGTTACAGGAAACTAGTTCTTTTAGACATAAATATTCATGAGGCCAATAACAATAAGGATACAGAAAAAAATTTCTTGAATTATGGCAAGAATGGACGTTCCAGTGTGTTCAATTGGATGTGCAATAAATAATTTCATTCTGGCCTCTGAGACAAAGGAGGAGGGAAAGATAGTGAAGAAAAAAAAAATGAAGTCTAAAGACAATACGGGAGAAAACAAAATTCTTTGTAGCCATTAAAAATGATCAAAATGGGATGGAAAGGAGAAAAAAGGACATGAAGAAAAATACAGAGAGAAAGAAATATGTTAGAATATAAAGTGAAAGAACAGATTACCAAAAGAAGGAATGACAAGGAAAAAAAAAAAAAGAAAATTATAGTGGGGAGGGGGAGGAGAAGGAAAATGGGAAGAGAAAAAAGAAATAGAAAGAGAGAAAAATAATGAAAAGGAATTAAAAGAAGGTAGAATTTAAGGATATTATTGAAGAAAAGGGAAAAATAGGAAGAGGAAGAAAGAAAGAAATTAAAAGTAAAATAAAGGAGAAAGGAAAATATGATGAAAGAAGATATGGAAATAACTTCAGAGAGAACAGAGGAATGAGAATTAAAAGAGAAAGAAGAAAAAGAAAGAAATAGAGTAAAAAAATCAATAAGGAAGCTAGCTTAGTGAAGAAAAAGATATAAAAAAGTTGTGGGATAGAAATTAAATAAGAATGACTGAATGAAAAAGAAAAGAAAAAATAAGCAATGAAAAAGAAAGTCATAAAAAAATAAAACTAAAGAATAACAGCAAAGAAATGAAAGAAAAAAAAAGAAAAAAATCAGACAAGAAAAAGAATCAATAAAACAAGGAAGAAAATTTTAATGAAGAAGGAGGCAATATTAAAAGAAAAGACAATTGCTAGAAGAAAAAAATGATTGAATGAAAAATGAAACTACAGAAAATGAAGAAGAACCAAATTTCGAAAAACTATCCTTATATGGAATATTTTGAAAAAAAATAACGCTTGATAAATTCAAGCATTATTTTTTTCATTTAATTTTTATTTTCCTATTTCTTTTCCTGTCCTCGCCCACATTGCTGTACAGAAATCATTAAAAAAAAACAAATAACTGGAGCAAAAATAAAACAATTCTGATAGTTAATTTTGGTAACAATTCAGTTTTGGCATCTATAGAAATCTGAATTCCTGAATTAAAACATTTGCACACACTTTGGTCCCAATACAAATGTATGCCTGCACATTCAAATATTGTTGAAATAAAAATACACAATTTGACTAGTATAAAATTATATTTTAGGAGACAGCCATTTGCACAGCCAATACATACACAGGTGTATGTAAATATTGGTACACATTTAAAAAAAAAAAGGAAATTTTGCCACCACATATACACAATGATATTAGTACTTACTCATATATACCTGCATACTACCATATTTATAGAGCTAACTAAACATGTATATAATCCATATATACACAAACACATGTAGAAGCATGTTGGTTGCATATACAAATCTTTGCTACATTATAAAAACAAATATGCATTTAGGTATTTGTAATAGAGATTTAAAGTTAGCAAATAGACTATAGTTACAGATTTGCAATATGTATGTATGTATATATATGCTCCCGGAAATCAAGTTGAGCTCTCTAGGGAAAGGAGATTTTAAATAACAGTGGCTCCTATTATTAAGCATTACACTTCAACTAAATTGAATTGAGTTCCCTGAGCGGCTGGTGTATTTCGTATAGAGAAAAATGTTAAAATACCCTTCCTTTCTGCTGTGTGTTGATGGCCTAGAGGCAAAATATCTGACTGATGTCCAATCAGTCAAGTTTCAATAGCGGCTTGAAGCATTTGGCCGTCTAGCCACACTGATGAGCTGTGATACAGCAAAACAGTCTGTCTGTGGATGACTTATACATATATATATAAATACAAATATAAAAGTGAACATTGAAGTGAACATTCAGAGGCGACAGGCGGCCTGACGATTGTGTCTAGCATGAAATACCCTGTCGCCTCTGAGTGTTGACTTCAATGTTCGCTTTTATATTTATATTTACATATGCTCTATCTCTGATATTGCGCACTATATCTCATAAATATATCACACCTTAAAACTATATTTCTTCATATATATATATATATATATATGTGTGTGTGTGTGTGTGTGTGTTACTTCAAACATTATTATAATGGATATTCATACTTGAAATAGCTGCCCCATTTTTATTTTTATTATAAATAGTCTGTATCACATTCATCAGTCTGCACATGTAAGAGATGCCATTATGGAAGATGTGCTTTCCAGCAGGGATTGAACCTATTTTCATGGTTTCTCCTACAAAGAGGATGCAGGTTCCATCCCTGCCAGAGAACACCTTTTCCTTAATGAGATCTCTTGAAAGCACAGACCTTGATACCTGGGTTTGAATCTCAAGATTTCTCAGGAACGTGACTTCTTGATTTTATCAGGCTGGAGGAGGCGATCACAGCGTCTGGCACCTTTTGGAAAGTGCCTGAAAACTAAACCATGGGTTAACCCAAGGCATTGTGAGTGAAATTAGGTAGACGGAACCTTTTGAGAGCCCTCCCTGGCTGTGCTAACAAAAAGTCGCAAGATATTGTGTGCATGTTGGCCTTGTTCAGACTGTTGATCATGCTAGATAACACACTCTCTCCTAGAAACAGTAACTAAAGTTTGCTCAGCATAATTGCAGTATAAACTACAGATGTGCCTGAGCAGGTGTCTGCAATGGGGATTAGCCAGCAACCCTAGTAGACTGGCATACTGGTATATCCATTATATATATATATATATATATATATATATATATATATTAAATAGTGATATATATATAAATTCATGAATCATTCATACAAAAAACAAATATAGAGGTTAATGATTTAAATGGCGAGAATCGCAAACTATATAAATAAGATACATTAACCCCAAACCTGTATATGAATGATATGATCCCCGTTTATAAATTCCAGTTACATAAGGTCTTTTTAATTTTTACAAGCTTTCGTCTGTTCTTACAGACATCATCAGGTATGGAAGTAGATTTTGTTCTTGTTTTTACGTTTTAAGTAATAAGATGACAACGAAAATAGAGATGTAATCTGAAAAAATGCACCTTTTAATTGAAATATATATATATATATATATATATATATATATATATATATATATATATATATAATAGTTATATATATATAATATCTATTATATATTATATATATATATAATATATATATATATATATATATATATATATTATAGTTATATATATATATATCTATTATATATTATAATAGTGATATATATATATATATATATATTATATATTATAATAGTATATAAATATATATATATATATATATATATATATATATATATATATATATCTAATATCTATTATATATTATATATTATAATAATTATATATATCTGTTGTAGAGTAGTTTTCACAGTGGAGGCTTGTATTTCAATGTCGTCCTAAATTAGGTTCGACGTACAAAACGTTAGGAACTTGAAATAAGAGTAAATGACGCAGCAATCTAGTTGTGATGGTTGATACTTCAATGTTCGACATTGACTGACTCGCTCAACACCACTGAGCCCCACTGGTGACCGCTACTACTACTACTACTTATTATGTGTGGGAGAGTCTATTAATAATAGAATAGGTACGTCAGGTATAACAATATATAGTATCCATAATAATTCTTTTATAATAATTGTTATATAAATGGGATTCACAGTAAGAGGGAAGGCATGATACACGTCATGTACAATGTGTGTATGTTAGGGTTCAGATGTGCTACTGCCACCCTCTGGGTGCTCATTTTTATTTTCACTTCCTTTTCACTTCCTCAAATTTTTCCACCACCCTCCAATGAGGGATGGTACCACCTACTTTGGAAATCACCAATCTAATCAATGTTCTTCGGAAAACATGCTTTATCTCCAAATGTAACAGAATTTTGCTACACTTTGGTTTAATTATGTGACGTTTATACCATCTACATTATTTACATTATTCGAGACTATTGTCCTTGTCACCATATTTATTATAATGTTTCGGTTTTGTACGCTTCGGCTTTCTTCAGGTGGTTGGAATGTCAAACTGAACCCTTTATTTTGCTCACTGGAACAGACTGTTTTAGTTCCACATGCCATGTTTAATAGATGTCAGTTATCAGTTATCTCCTGTTAATTTCCCTCTGAATGTTCTCCACTGCCTTAACCGGATATTGAACTCACACTCTTTGGGTCCTGTCACTGGATCTAACCAACGCCTTTATCCACTGTGCCATGTGTCCAAATAATGTAAATAATGTACATAATACCTCATCACAAAAATATAGACAGATATTTTTTACCATCCGTCATCAGATTCATATAAATTAAATTTATTTTGATTGCTAGAGTGAACTTTATAGTTGCTGCATGATGGGATGAATAATCATTTTTAACACTTTGACTGCTACTCATTTGCCCAGTGCTGCCCCCATCCGGCCAGCCATTTTTAAAGAAAATGACAAATTTCAACCTACATATTTTATTACACAAAAAACTGGCACCAGTGTGTTTTACAGCCTTCCATTTTCATGGATATACCTGGGAATGACTTACCAGATTATTAATGGGTATGCACATGATATCTTTTGAAGCATTGTCCTTTGTGATTTTATGACAGATGGCGCAACAGGACACTCATACCAGCGGTATGCAAAAAACATAGGTTTCCGTACTTAGTCAGCTGGAGCAAGATAAGAAAAATGAAGATCTCCGTAGTTAGCAGCGGAAGTGTTAAGTGTCCTGAATTATCTATCTCACCAACAATATTTAAGCCTCATCTGAATCAGAGTAAATAATCACTCAGGGTGTAATGAAATGAATACAGACAGAGTTTCATAGAACAAATCTACTTTTAGGAGACAACATTTATACTCAGAATCAGGAAAGAAAAGCTGAAATTCTTTATTGAGAAAAGAGAGCTTGGAGAATTTAACCCTCACAGGGCATATTTTAAGGAAAGAGAGATAAGATAGCAGCTGAGAATGAGAAATTGGAGAGCTGAGTTTAAATTTCTGTCAGAGCCATTACATTCACTTGCATACTAATACCCTTGGGAAAGGTAAAAATCCACTTCTTCTCTCTTCCTGAATTATCTATCTCACCAACAATATTTAAGCCTCATGTATTCTGTAGAAGCACATTTCTGTTGCCTCAAGTTTCTTCATCTGTGAGATTCTCCAACATTCACTGCCATATTACATAAGTTTCATCTTGTTTTTTTTTCTAATAAAAATTTCCTGTTTCTTAATACTTTGCTTAACTTTTGGAAAAATATTGCCTCTGGATTTCACTGTCACATTTTCAATCCTCAGTAAAAACGCTTCCTCGATTATTTAAATTTGCTTGATTTTAGTGCCACCAATTTGTAGCTCACATCTTGAGCTGTTTTTTTTTTGCTGACAATGCTACATTCTGTCTTCTTACAACTGATTATTACTTCTCACTGGTCCTTTGAGCAAGAGTAAAAGTTTATTCCTTGTTACCTGTTTAAGAATTATGTTTCCAGTTCCTTTTAAAGTCTACTTTAATTTTATATTCCTAAAACTGAACTTTTATTTACTATTGAATTACTTTTTTTTTTCTCAGTATTTTTAGATAGCTTTGCCTATCGTCCCATTCACATTCCTTCCCAGTCTTTTTTACAGGAGTTTATGATTGAATTTCTGG